GTGGCTGACTCTTAACTTTTATAAAGAATATCTCTTTGGATTTGAGACTTTAGTCTTTGCAACTTTACAGATCTTCTTTATGCACCAAGAGCTTGTAACACTCCAAAGAGAAAGGAAAAATTGAAATCGCACCATATGACCCCTTTAACTTCATTAGTTTTGTGTCTGGCAAATCAAGCTTATGTAAAGTCCAACTTGTAAACAGTTACTGTAGCAGGAAAGACCATTTAAACAGCTGTTATAACAGCTATAAACCAAAAACAACAATCCATTATGTAGGTAAATCTCACAAAAACCTGTCAAGAATGTCGGGGTCAGATTTCAACTCTAAAATCAAATGAGAATTTATAAACTTATATTTTGCATAAAGAAAATCAAACCTATTTTAGGAGCCTTATGATTTTTTTTTTTGTGACAATTGCATTACTGCAAAAATAATAATTAAATAAATGCATTAGTGCATGTGAAAGAAAATACTGAAATAGTGCTAAAGTATTAAATTAAATATAAAATTAGAAAAAAAATCATACAATATGGCAGTATCTGTTTTACTGAATTTAATTAATGCTTATTTTAATTAAAAATCACTGCATCCAGACTTTCATTACTGTATTACTGTAATGAGAACAAGAATTTCTTGTGTTACAGTATTGTGAATTTTGGGGAGAAAAGTGCTCATTTGTCATGAAAATAATGTTTAAAAACTGTAATGTAAAAAAATCTCATCGTAAATACTTCATTTTCATTATGCAAAATATTATTTCTGATTTTGTTTTCTTTAATATTGATCTTAAATATGACCTTTCTTCATGAGTTAACATGATTAATCAACATTGGATTAATTTGTGCATTTAAAACAGAAATGCATAATATATATACATATATATATATATATATATATACACACACACACACACACACAGTGAGACAATTTGTGAGTAATTGGAATATGGGTAGTGAGTAAATAATATTTAAGGACACATTTTCTCACATATCACTTCACTCAGCCCTTCTCAATCCCAATTGTTAAATCTGAATTAATAAAAAAATTAAAAAAAAAGTTTATTGCATTTCTATGCTCCATCCCCAAGACCAACTTTAAAGGACTGCGCATGTCCCTGGGAACTCGTTTCAAACTCTGGAGCAGAGCAAGGGTGCATATTTAATGAATTAATTTCAAAACTAGTAAGTGAGTGAATTAATTTATAACTAAATTCAGTTTTATATATTTTAAATGTATACATACATACAGTTCAACCTTGTTTTATGCATATATACATGTAATATAACAAACGCTCAATAAAAGCAGTGACATAAAAAGGTAATGAGAAAATATTTGTGTATACAACAACATATAACCAAATATATTAGGCTACTGGTTTATATAATCAAATTCTCTCAAACTAAATTTCACAGTGACCTTAGCAAGCAGGGGAGCAGGTTAGTTAATGATGTATTTTTTCTCATTATCTTTATAAAATGATTAAGTAATAAACAAAGCTGGGAGTCTGATAGCTAGGGTTTTGTCTCTGACGCTCTGAGTGAACAGCAGATGTCCAGCAATCCAACAGGTGCAGTGAAGTGAATGAGGTCAGCTTTACCATAACACTGAGAACACAACATCAACTTACATATGGAATTAAGCAGAGCCAGCGTGAGATCAGTGTTTTTACAATCTAACAAAGCGTCAGTCAAAGTAGGTCTTCAGAAAATGTACACTGATCAGTGAGATAACAGTTAGCAAGTCTGTAACACAGGATGAAATATGGTTTATCAGCAACATCAATTTAGTGCTAAAACACCCATTACAGTAAAGTGAAGCAGGAAACATCAAAAGTAGATAATATTACTCTAGCTGACATTTAACTAATATATTGCTATAGAACAACATAATACATTATATAAAATTATATATAATTATATAATGTGCTGTTCCTGAGTCTGGGAACACAAAATGCCTGTTTAATTCTAAGGGTCAGAAAAAGATTGGGGAAATTCATCCATCCAAACAGCTTGTCTTATGTATGGTTACAGGAATTCTGGAGCCTTCTGTCATAATAAACTTTTTTATTTTTTGGTACAAAAGCTGAAGCGAATATAGTACACAGTGGATCTCATGAAGTAACTAAATGACTTACAATTTAACTAAACTTTACTGAAGTTCTGCACAAGCTCGTGACAAAATTATTGTCATGTTAAAGAAAACAGTGTCATGATTTAATCTCAAATTACATAAATTAATACTCACAGAGCTTTTCTGCAGTTCAGCACAGCTGGTATCAGTCTCCTTCTACCCTCATCTGATGTGTTGTATTTCTTCAGATCAAACTCATCCAGCACCTCCTCTGATATCTGAAGCATGTAGGCTATCGTTGAGCAGTGAGACGGAGAGAGTTGATTCACTGAGCGATTCTCTGATTTCATAAACTCCTGAAGCTCTCTGTACAGAGTCTGATCCTTCATTTCCAGCAGACAGAGGAACAGATTGATGCATCTGTCAGCTGAGAGACATTCATTACCCTTGATTTTGTCTTTAATGTACTGTGTGATTTTCTTGATGGTCTCTGAGCGGTTCACTGTGTGTGTCAGTAGATCCTGTAAGTCTATGATTGGACTCCAGTGAGAAGCCCAGCAGGAACCACAGGAAAAGATCCAGGTGTCCATTTTTACTCTGTAAGGAATTATCGACTGCTGCTTCTAGTAGCTCATACAGAGAGTTTGTCCGACTGTACCAGCGATATCTTTTATTCAATAATGGCTTCAGTGATTCCTCATTCTTGTCTACATGGGAGTAAAACACAAAGAAAGCAGCTAGAAACTCCTGAAAGCTCAGATGTATGAAGCAGTGAACTTTCCTCTGATGAATCACAGATTCCTGCTTAAAGATCTCAGTGCAAATCCCAGAATACACTGAAGCATCAGTGACGTCTATGCCGCTCTCAATCAGGTCCTCCTCATAGAACATCACATTGCCCTTCATCAGCTGTTTGAAAGCCAGTTCAGCAAGTTTCACAATCATGTCTCTGTTGGACTTCAGGAGTTTCTCTGGATCTCTCTCATCATACTTCTGACTCTTCATGTTGATCTGAGTCAGCAGGAAGTGGATGTACATTTCAGTCAGAGTTTGAGGGATTTCTGCACTGTGATGTTTCAGGAGGTTTTGAAGCACAGAGGCTGAGATCCAGCAGAAGACGGGAATGTGACACATGATGTGGAGGCTTCTTGATCTTCTAATGTGTGAGATGATTCTGCTGGCTTGATGCTCATCACTGATTCTCTTCCTGAAATACTCCTCCTTCTGAGGCTCATTGAATCCCTGAACTTCTGCCACAAGGTTTATGTATTTTGAGGGGATCTGATTGGCTGCTGCTGGTCTGGAGGTGATCCAGATGAGAACAGAGGGAAGCAGCTCTCCTCTGATGAGGTTTGACATCAACACACTCACTGATGAAGACTCATTCACATCAAGAACTCTCTCATCGTCTGAAAACATCAATGTAATTCTGCTTTCATCCAGACCATCAAAGATGAACACAACTTTACACTCCTCATAAATCTGTGAGTCCAGATCTTGAAGTTCAGGATGAAAGTCCAGCAGAAGTCTGTGAAGACTGTACTGGTGATCTTTAATCAAGTTCAGCTCTCGAAATGGAAGCACAAACATGAAATCTACATCCTGATTGGCTTTTCTCTCGGTCCAGTCCAGAATGAACTTCTGCACAGAGACGGTTTTTCCAATTCCAGCGATGCCTTTCGTAAGAACAGTCTTGATTTTGTCTTTCTCCTCACATCCTGGTTCATGTAAGGGTTTAAAGATGTCATTGCAGTAGATTGGAGTGTCTTGTGTTCTGGCTGTTTTCTCCATCTGTAAAACCTCATGTTCTTCATTCACCCCTTCACTCTCTCCCCTATGATGTAGAGCTGTGTGTAGATCCTGTTCGGGAGGGTTTGATTCTCTTCAAGTTTGATTCCCTCAAATAAGCTCTCATGCTTGTGCTTCATGCTGGCTTTGTGCTGGTCTTTGACTCTCTGTCTGATCAGGGTCTGACAGCCGGAGTCAGTGCAGGTCAGACGGGACGTCACTGATCTGATCACATCAGCTCTCTTCACTCTGAAGAAACAGTGAGATGAACAGAAAAACTGTGACTGTAAAAAAGCATTACAACTCAGAAAAACAATTACCAATGTTTACAGCACATTGAACTCTAAGATCTAATTGGATCCCACAATTAGACAGAAGTGTCAGTTTAACAGACAACTGTCAGAAAAAAACATGTCTGTAAGCTGCGGTTATGATTATCATACAGTTATTGTGCTGATATTGGTCATTCACATCAGCTGTAGCCTAGTTGTAGTGTAAATGAGCACCATTTTACAACTTGCATACTACTAAATACTTCTGAAGCCATCCATCGGGAATAATGGTGGGAACAAAATGGCAAGGTGACTGGATCATTACATTATAATCCAAGAATACATACAATTGTAGACAGACAACAATTCTTTAGACATATATGATAGCCGCTAGGCTATAGAAAAGTGCTATAAAAATAATTTAGAATTATTTTAATTAGCAATCATATTTTTGCAGG